AAATGTTGTCATATTTTATAAAGAATATTTTTAAACATTTTTAATTTAGGCAGTTGATCAGTAATTATTGAAATTAGTAGAAATAATCAAATTAGAATTAATGCTAATAGATAAATAATAATACTATAAATAAATAAATCTAATATTCGATTTATAGAACCGATTAAATACTATAAATAAATCAATCTAATATTAGATTTATACTATAAATAAATAAATCTAATATTATACTATATTTATATATATTTATATTTATACTATAAATAAATAGATTTAATATCTAATCTAATATTAGATTTACAAATATTTAAATTACCCGTATTTAATTATCTAAATCGCAGCTGTATTTTCAGCAGTAAAATTGGATCCAGTTTTATTTAAATTTATTTAATTAAATTGTTCTGGGATAGGTTCCCTACTCTAGTTCCTACTTCTTCCTCCGTTCGATTACCTGTGAGTCGCATTGCTTGCTAACTGCTTAATGGTTAGTTTGTTTGGCTTGTTGCTATTGCTATTGCTGTTACTGTTTCTTTTTATTGAGTGATTGTCCTCATTATAGTTGATTTTGTTGCTGTTGATTGAGCGCATTTTAATGGCACTTCATGTGGTTGGCCAACTGGTTGGTTGCTTGGCTCGTTGGTCGGTTCCCAACCCTCTCCGATGTGTGTAGCTTTCTTTTGAACGTTCAACGTTCATTCATAGACTCGTAAAAACTCGAGCACCAACAAAGCCACCAAATAAACATTGAAAGAAGTTTCAATAAAAAAAAAAGAAGTACTTACAGTGCCCGCCCGTTAACCTCGGTAGGCGAAGTTTGGATACCCTGTTTTGTTAGTAATATATATGATATGACTGTTTTAACCAACTTAAAAATTAAATATCATTGGTTATATTTAAAAACTCTTCAATACCCAACATTATACATTAAATTTCTATATATAAAGAAAACAAAAGCAAGGTTTATTTATGAAACCAGAATCCTTATGAATCCAATTGCAAGATATAGCAACCAATTGGAAATCTTAGTTTTAAAAATATTTTTTAAGTCGTGTTGTTTCTATAGCAGCAATATAATAAGTCGTTCCATTCAATTTCAACTTAGAACTTAAAATTCTCTAAATTCTCTATTCTCTATCAATATGATATATTGGTGAAATCCTATTCAAGCCTAACAACATCATTTCTTAAATTCTTATCATATACTTCTAAACAACCAACAACAGACAACAAAAAATTTGTTCATACAAAAATTTTGGATACAAAACTTTTTCAAAACCTAATCAATAAGAGTATATAAATTCGTCGAGTCTACGTAGATTCATAGACCCGTTTCAGGCTAAACAATTTTTATGAGATCGCTAGCAGAAAATATAAAAATAAAAATTAAGCAATAAAAAGTAGAGAAGCGTAACCAACCAGCCAACCAGCCAACCAACCAACCAACTAACCGAATACCAATCGAGGCCCATTACAAGAGACACCTGCGAAATGGCAGCGACTCGATTCCTCTCGCTTTTATCGTAGTTTTGAATAAAAAATTAAAACAGGCAGGCATACTAAAGAGGCAGTCCGCTTCGGAAATTCCAAAAGCCCGTGACGTCTGCGCGCTTCGATTTTAAATATATACATACACAGATACGGGTATGTAGATATATTTTACATTAAACACAGACACACTACTTACATACATACAGACTATATATGTTTGTATGTGTACACCTGGGCTGCCAGCTCAAGAGCGTAAATAGTTGCGATATCAGACAACACGCCGGCCACGTTGTTGATAGCACAAAATCGAAAATCTAATAAGATCCGCCGATGTTGAAATGATTAAAAATTCATGCTCGATCTGTTTTTGTTATTTGTTGTTTTAATACCCTATACCCAAAGGTATGAAGGGTATATTAGTTTAGTGCGAGTGGAAATGACACCACAAAGAATATATAGCTATAGAAATGTTCGTCTATCCGTTCGTCCGTCTGTACGTATGAACGCAAGGATCTCACAAAAGTATAGGTTCTAGAAAAGTCAAACTCGGTATCCAGATTTTCCTAAGCCCGACAAAGGACCAGTTTTTTTTCTAATGCAATTATATTAGTTTTATTTGAGAAATATTAATTGTTTTTTTCCTGAAGTGGTTACAGGGTATTTAAGAGTTGAGCCCACTCGACTCTAGTTTTTGTGTTGTTTTGGACGTGCGTCTCAACATCGAGTTCTTAAGGCCTATTATTCCACTCATATGACAAAAGATTACAAAGCATTACTAGTTTATTTTTTCATTCATTGTTGACAATGAGAATAATTATATGTATTATCTATTTTTATTTAATTTTTTTTAGAGCTTCTTTTAATGATTATTTAGTTTTATTATGTTAGATAACATATTTCCGTGCGCTTTTTCATTGAGAGGAGGGTAAATGGTTTAATTGAATATTTATGGAAACGGAAATTAAAACTCAAACAGTTCCTACAGAGCTGTATTTCTATCGAATTCGATCAAATCATGCGTAATCAAAATAGTAATACAATTTAGTTTTTTGGTCTTAAAAATTTCCTAAGAGGTACCTAAGAGCCTGAACGAAGGCTGGAAAACACTAACCACTTTGGAGACCAAAAATCGCACTCAATTCCTCCAGCAACTGCAAATCCAGAGAAAGGAATGCAGACTCACAACTCAATACCTGAATCGTTTTTTCGGAAACGGAAAAAGTCCTGCAGAAGTACTAGTCCTCCAAATTAGAGAATTAGAGAACCACAAACTAGTAAGTTAATTGATTTTTATTATCTTTTCGGCTACTGCTGTTGAATATTATTCTCGTACGCATAAGTATGCGATATAGAACCACTATCAGAACAATATAATCCCCGTGCATATTTGTTTTTGAACGACCTGCTGACTTTATCATTCCCTGTTTGCATACTATTTGTCGTAATATTAGAAAATCTTACTTACGCATTTTAGCGACTTATACGAACAAACCGCAACCAAAATGCTCTGCAATAAAGTCACATGCGTCCAAGAAGTCATGGCGGAAGAATGTCGCCGTCACATTTATTGCCGGTTTTGGCTGTTGCTGCATTTCACAACAAGTCGAGTGATAAGCAGACATTGTTTCTAAATAGGTCTAGCGATATAATAGGTATTCCACCACTTCAGGTAGCTTTAACGTCATTCGAAAGCATAACTGACAGCCCGCTGGAAACGTGCAGTGCGTCAGTGGTGGAACGTGCGAGTGGAGGTAAGCTTACATGATCGCGCCAAAGATAAACGCTATCTCTGACAGCTCGATGAGTTCCGTAATGTAATGCCCCAAAAGAGAATTAAGTTCTTGTATAACTATGGCAGTAACTTGGCCAATCCCTTTCAAACATAATGGAATGCGTTTATTTGCAGTCGGCAAGTATTTATGGAAAACACTTTTAAATAATAAGTTGTCTTTTCCTACGGAAATGTCTGTTGTAGCTTGCTTTCGCTTCAAAACTTGTATATCCGAAAGTGATATCGAAATGTAATTGTGAGGAAAGTTTAAATTATACGTTTTCTTTTCGAATTGTGTTATCAGTTAGAAACTATTTTCGATTCCGAACATCTCAATCCTGAAGTGAAATCTATAAAATATAGTTCTGTGGAAAGTTTTACCCAACAGGTCTGCTTCTTTTATTGAATTATCTGTTTTAAGGTACTCTTGATTCCAAACATGTAATCCGAAAGTGAAACAGAAGTGTATTTATGTGGAATGTTTTCTTATTCGTAACGATCTATTTATTTTTTTTAAATTCCGAACATGTGAATCCTATAAAAATGTAAATGTGTGTTTATGCTTAAAGATTGAAGAAAGAGGTTTCTGTTTTTATTATAATTTGCTTTCGATTCCCAACATCTGAATTCAAAGGTGAAATCGAAAATCTTTTTAATTCAGAAATTGGTAAAACCTTGAGCTGGTTTTATATTAACCGAAAGATGGGTTGATATTAACAGAGTTTCCTATAATTGCGGGTTTGAACAAATTTTAGATATTTTCTTGTCTGTTTAAGGTATTGAAGTAACAATTAAACCATAAGAAACATTTCCGTCCAAATTATTTGCATATGTGACCAGAGATGTAATCGATGTTCTAAAGATTACTTAGACAATCCATTAAAATATATCCGATATAATCTGTTCATATAGTTCTATAAAAACAACTACTTATGCTTCTTAAGTATTTTAAGGTATAATATATCTTTCCATTATTACTGCAAGCTTTTGAGAGAAAGCGCGAGAGCAAAAACATAGGAAATACTTCTGAAAATTGTAGGTTAATTGCCTACCTGGCCCTATCAGTGGCTATGTCCGGTATGTGAACGTTAGAAAGTAGTATCTGTGTACAATATCTAGTAGTTTTACGACTTCCGTTGTTTTTCGTACTTCAACTTCCTAGACAATACGGAAACTGCACTTCATACACTCGTACATACTACGTATATGTACATCTGTTTAGATAAAAGGCAATTTTTTACAGTAACATCGCAACAACAAGGGCCGCCAATTCATATTGTAGTACCCACTTATTTACACTTGGCAAATATTGAACGAATTTTATGAGCAATTTATATGCTATTTCCTGTTTTTGTTCCTCCACTGCCACCAATAATAATAATAATAATAGTACGAAATTCCTAGAAACTACATATGTAAAAAAAATAAAAATAAAAACTAGATAACATATTGCAAAGTACTCCCAGCATAGTGGTGGCGGTTGTTGTGGTTGTCAGCCATTTCCTGTAGTAGTACTAGTGGAGTGGAGACCGTTCGATTCGAGTGCTACGATAGGGGTCGACATAAATCAGTAAAGAAATTACGATTACAAACTAACAGGGCGCCCTTTAGGCCAGACATATAATGGGTATTACTAATGTTTACCCAATAGAATTGTGATCATGAATCGCTTGCTTTATTTTCGGTAAATAAAGATATTTGCTAAGAGATTACGAATGTGTAAAAAATGTCAATACGCTACCGTTAGTTTAGTTGTTGAATATTTTCCTAGAGTTTCCTGGAATTTCGCCACTGTCTGGTAGTCATACATATATCTAGAATTGAGGTGCTTTCCTGAAAATAAATGTAAATATGTACAGAAGGATTAGGGCATTGTAAGAACTTTATGGCGATAATAAAATTATAAATACATTTTTTAATATTATGTAGCATAAGAGAATACATACAAGTATGTATATGGAAATAGAAAGATTATCTGATATGTATAATTATAGTTCAATATGAAACGGTTGTCCATGAAAAACTGTAATACATATTTATAAAAATTGCTGCTAGTTAGAATGACAGATAATTTGATAAAGCCTATTTATGTGAATTTGACTTACAGCCCTTTTGGTGAAGTGAAATAATGAAGGAATATTTCCACATATGTATATAGCTAAAATTTTCACCAAAAGAAGTAATGTTGATGTTGAAAAAACCTGGTAAATGGTTATTGATACTATTTTCGTCTTCAAGATGAAGGCAAAGATGACGATTTACGTTTTTAATTTAAACAAGTAAAAAAGCTAAAGTCGGGTGTCCCGACTTTGAATTACTCTGTACATATGTTTAAAATAATTATTGAAATTAAAAAAATTAAGAAAATTAAAAAAAAAAATTGGATCGATTTTACCTCTTTCGGTGTTCGAACTCACGTAAAGGGTTTATAATTGCACATTTACATAGCAATTGCGTCTGTGTGAGTGTATGAATGCCTATGCGCATCTATTCGTGTCTGTGTAAACATGTTAGCAGTCAACCAAACAGCAACATCAACAACAGCCGCGGGCAGCGCTTGAGCAGCGCTGCAGCAGCAAATATATTTATGGCTATAACTTCTTGTTAAATTGGTCTATCATAGTGAAACTTGGCATACGGACACATAATAACTAACTGGGGGTATTTGTAATTTGCAATTTTAGTTCGAAATTCCAAAATATACATTTTCTGCGTATTCACACAAGGCATCTTGGACTAAAATTTGGTGTTGCTAGGTCTTATAGTCTCCGATATATAGGCGATTAGACGAATGGAAAATCGGGAAAACCCCCATAGGGGGGAAGTGGGGGGAAAATCAAAAAAATAAAACAAACTCGTATAGAATACTCACATAAGACATCTTTCTGCAAAATTTGGTGTCTATCTCTTATAGTCTCTGAGATCCAGGTGTTCATACGGACGGACAGACAGACAGACAGGGCTAGATCGACTCGTCTCGTCATGCTGATCAAGAATATATATACTTTGTGGGGTCTGCCACGTCTTATACAACTAACTGTCTAGGGACCTGAACGAATTGACTTTTATAGCGCCAAATATTTATGTATATGAATTTCTTGTTACCCAGCTTAATATTGAAATAAACTATAGCTCCTCGGTACATTTTTCTAAAAACCGTATTATTAAATAACATCTTAAATTGGATAACAAATTGGATAACACAATTTTCTATCATTCCTTTTTAAATGATCAGTCGAAATCTAGACGTAATGTAATTCTTATATGGAAACAAGACTACATGGCAAAGATTATAAATCGATTTAAATATAATGAATACATGCATACATATGTACTATAACTGGGTTATTTTATTAGTTTTCATTACAATACTTTATTGTTGTAACATTCTTTCTATGATCAAAGAAGCAGTCAAGGAATCAGTAGGCAAAGTAAGAAATAACAATTTTATTATCTACTATTATTTATAAACATTAGAATGGAAACTCACGACCTTCGTTAAACATAACATAAAGCAAACATGTATACAAATTTTATTGCAGAAATTCTATACAAAAATCAATTTGTATGCAGTTGTTTTTTAAATAAAAAATAAAATAAAACAATTTCAATACGCAAATTCTATGGAAATGTAATTCTGTTAAAATCTGGTATTTATTTATAACCGCAACGTTTCCATATAAGCGACAAATTCCACAAAGCCACAAACTAACCCGCACAACAAATAAAAAAATAAATAGCAACAACAGCAACAACTTGTCACAATCACAACCCGTCTAAGCGATGGCGGCGCTTAAACATCTAAAACGGAAATATTGTAATTTAAAAAAAAAAAATTCATCGGCTACATTGTGGAATTTTTTACATTTTTTTCTTTTGAATACATATTACAAGTAATATTTGTTGTTGGTATGGTTGCTGCTATTGATGTCTATCAACGGTGTTAAATACACACACAAACAAACACACACACAAACGTACACATGCATATTAGTCCATGAATGGGCCGCCCGTTAGCTAAATGCTGTTGTTGTTATTATTGTTGTCGTCGCTTGGGCCCAAAGCCCCCTCTAACGTACCGCACCGTTTCAATTGCATGTCTTCTCCGTATGAATCAAAGCCATGCGTGTGTGTGAGTGTGTGTGTCTGTGTGTGTGTGGGTTAGTGTGCATGAATGAATGTAGCGAGTAACGTAAAAGCAAGCCCAACCAACAATAGCAACAACAATAAATGAGCGAGCAGCCGAACGTGCCGGCATGGCCAGCAAAAGCGAGTTGTAGTTGCTTTTGTTGTTATTGTTGCTGCTGCTGCTGCTTCTGATGTTGCTGCTCTTGTTGTTGTTGCGTGAATCAAGTGAATGAAATTTAGCGAGCGCTTTATTTTTTCGTTTTTCGTTTTTTTTTTTTCATATGACATTTTTCAAGTGTTGACATCGGCGGGCGGCACATTTATACATACATTTACGCGTGTGTGTGTGTGCTTGGAATGCAATTGTGTAAACAATAATTGTTAAGCGTTAGAAGCGAGCGACGAGCGACGCGTCGTCGCCAAAGTTGTCGATGCGCTGATTTTGATAAGCAGGCGTAAAAAGGAAAACAACAGCAACAACAAGTGGGTGAATGAGATGTGCTAATGGAGGGCGACAGAGAAAGAGAGAGAGAGAGAGAAAAAAGCAGTGAATGTGAGTGAAAGCAAGGTGTTGGTCAAAGAAAAAAGTAAGAAGCCAAAGCTGATTTTGAGTGAAGAAGTTACTGATTGGCTGACTGACTGACCAAGTGAGCCAGACATACAGCAACAAAGAAATGGGCATCCGCTCTTTATACAAAAACTAGCAAGTGGAAGGATTTTTATAAAAGTCTTTAGTTTAGGAGCATACATATGTACGTCTAGACATTAACCTATTTGGATGAAATTCGAGATAGTCGTAGTGTTTGGTTTATGTAGCTTTCGAATCTGTGGACAATATTGAATTAATAAGTGTGGGGACAACCATTCCTAAAACTCAGGCGTTCATACAGGCATGTCTAGTCATGTTGATTAGGAACTAATTAATACTTTAAGGGGTCTGAGATGCTTGCTTCCGCTCAAACTAATTAGACCCGTTTTACCATGAAGCTGTAGACTCTCAACTTTGTTTTACAACAAAACAGTTTGCTTTTTGATTAAAATATTTATTGCAATTCTCTTGAAATGTTGGGTAAAGGGGGGTTGGATATCTTGGTATTTATATTTTCCAATATTCCCTTAAACTTTTCAGTAAGCAGTGTAAATATAAAGAAATTTTTATTAAAACAGTTTGCCTTTTATTGCAATATTTATTGCAATTCTCTTGAAATGATGAATAAAGGGGTTGGATAACCTGGTATGTATATTTTCACTTTTCAGTGAACAGTGTAAATAATATAGCAATTTTAATTTAAACAGATTGGCTTTTATTGCAATTCTATTTAAATTATGAATAAAGGAATGGTGCTCGGAACTAAAACTATGTTACTTATTTATTTATGCGAGGTGATGAAGAGACATGAGAAAAGAAACAGAATATTTTGCAATAAGGTCGAGTATAATAATCATTTTGTAATCATTTTTAATTATATTTGGACAGATTAAACAATTTAAACAATAATTAATGATCAACAAGAGGGAGCAAAACATATTTTGCTTTAATAAATGATACTATTTAATATAATTATATTAATCTTTTACGATTATGGCTCTTACAGATTAACAATTTTGTTGACATAATTTGTTGTAATAAATGATATTGTAAATTGACAAAATATAGTATTCTATGCAATAAAATATATTCAATATTACGTTTTCATAAATGAAAAATGTTATTGCAATCATTAATTATCAACAAAAGTAAATAGTAAAACAAAATTTGCTGTAAAAAATGAAATGAAAATAAAAGAATAAAATTATTTTGTAAGATTTTTCTATAGATAATAAATTTTCAAATAAGTATCTGCTGATGGCTACAAAAGGTCAATCAAAGTTTACAAAACTGTTAAGATGAATTGGAATTAAATGATTTGAATATTTGATTTATCGACATCGATTTATATCTATAACGATTTAAAGAAGAAGAGGTTAATCAGATGCTGCAGTAAGTTGGCTTAGCACTGAAGTGAAATAATTTTCTTATAGCTTTTCTAAGAGTTGAAAGATTTCATTGAAATTGAAACAAAAGTAAAGAATATATATTTAAAAAGTATACAAAGTTTAGTTAATGTAATAGGCTCGGCCGATTCCAAAATTCAAGCGTTCATCCAGACATGTCTAGATCGATTTCTCTTGTCATGCTGATTAAGAAAATACTTGCTGATATAGACATAGTTTATATAAAAGCGTTTTGACAAATGTTGAAATCATTTAAAGATTTTTTTGTAAATAATAATCAAATCATAAAAGTGTCGTTTAATTTTGAACTCAATGCCGTTCTTCTTCTTACAAACGGTTTCATATTATGACGAAAATTTATGAAAATGTCACAAAAGTGTATTAATTATTTGAACAATTATCAAAAACTTTATTGTACTTAAATGTCGAAGATATTGTAGTGTTTAAATTAACTGTAGTCAATTGTAATCATTTTTGAAGAAAATTGAGAGAAAAAAGTATATTCGAATTACTGAAGTAAATAAACATTGATGTAGTTTTGCAGATACAGCCTTTTATTGTTGCCAATCTATAAAATCGAAGTTAATTTGTTTTTCTTATAAAAAGATCCTATAATTCTATTAGTATGCAGATTTTTAATGTCATAAACTGATAACTAGTTTTCTGAAACTTAGAGTTGACTTTCTTTTGATTTCGTAAAAAAAAACCAA